AGAAACAACCATCATGTTGTAGCCAGTGGCGATGCAAAAATTTGCCCAAAATGCCAAAATGCCGAAAGTACCGAATGGAAAAGCAAAGGTGAGCGTGACTGAATTGCCGAATAGAGGTGGTGCTGATCAGCCACAGATTCAAAAAAGGCAATATTAATTACTATTCCACGTGGCACTGTGCCTGTGTGGCGCAAAGGCGAGTCTTTTTGAATATTTGCTTCATTCTTGACACCTGTCCATGCTACCAATCAATTTTGGTGCATGACATCGGATAACCACGATATGATGGGAATGCGATAAGAAAAATTGATTCCTCACAGTGAAAGTATAAGTGGATTTTAAAATAAAAAGGAAGTGTCACATGGCACAAGTGTCCAAGAATGATAAAGAAAGTTAAAGAGGAGTCTGAAAGTTGAAAGTCCGAAAATTGTGTATTGTAACACTGTACCTACATTACGAGTTACTCCTCACAAGCTCCACTCCCTCTGATTGGTATATAAGCTGTAACTCCTGTACTCCGTTCCTGTAGTTCAAATACCAATAAGTTCCCCACACCCCTTCACCCAAGTCCCCCTTCTAAGTCTTCCAGTCCTCCTCTGAAGGACCTTTACTCCACTCAACTTTCATCCTCCACTCTCCCCTCATTCACTCCATCAAGTTAGGGAATAAGGTCTGCCAAAGGGCCTAGTACACAAGCTAAGCCGACTCCCAACCTCGTACTTTGTTCTGCTCCCACAGCACACCTCCAAACTCTGAAGATCACGGTTCTGACATAGAGAGACTTTGTTCAACCCTTTGTGACACTTTCTCACAATTATCCTTGGGGCAGAAGCTTACACATCTGTTGGTCTACTCCATTGGTGGCTGGTAAGCAAACCATATCACTCTCCCTTTCCATATGTGCTGATGCCAACAGCTGTCCAAGAGTAGTACTCTTCCCAATTTCCTGATCAAGTTTGGCGTCTACAACTTGGACCCCAAAAATCAATCTGACTCCGAACCTACTCGGACCCCAATTCTACCTAGAACCTGCATAATTCAAGGCCCCTATCAGAATTGAGTATCCTCCCAATAATGTGTTTGGCAAAATACTTCTTGGCCATTATAGACAAAGCTTGAAATTTTTGAAGGCGGGATGAGACCATATTTTATAACTGAAAATATGAAATATGTTCCTCAAGCATAGAGCGGCTGTTCACCCAATTTGGCAATGAACACTGAGAAGTAACCCTCCAACGGACTTTTATCTGCACCTCAACAGCGTGAACAGTTCAAATGGGCTCAGTATCCTCCATTCTGCACAAAAAACGTAAAACATCTGCTAAAGTGGGGCCTAATTTGCCTGCGTCATCCACGAGCCATGCCTATGACGCTGAATTTGATGAAAGCCCACACTTTTACCACAGCGGCCAATTTCCAAGGTTGCTTCCCCAACCTTCACCACACCCACATGTCACGGTGAACCACACATCATACTTTGGGTGTATAGTTGTGAGGAGAGAAGACCATAATAACGGAAGTTGGAACCATGATATTGGCGAGCATGCATATCTCTCATAACCCTTTCAAAAAGACTGACTATAAGAGGTTCTGTTCAGTCCAAGTGACCCCCCCAGTGTTGGAGGAATAAGGGAGATACAAGCCTCGTACGGCGTAGTACAAAGGCAAGAAGTGGCACAAGGGCCAAATTGGGAAAGTCCAGTAGTTGAGGTGGCCCGTGCACCTAATAAATAGAAATTTTTTGGTTCCGTCTTCACTTATATACGCTGCCATTGTCAGGCAGACACCTCGGACCTTCTCTCGAAGTCTGAGGTGAGATACGTTTATTCTAGAACTTATGAGTACTTAGCTTATGTCTCTTTTCAGTTTATTACTTGCTAGGTACATTCCTTTGAATATTACAGAGCTTCTCTCGAAGTCTGAGTTTATAACTTGCTAGATAATTAACAGGTTATGAGTCCCAGCAAAGACAAATCAACTCACCCCGAGAAGGACACCATAGGTGTCCCGAAACTCGAACACGATGGTTCGAACTGGTCCATTTATCGGACACGTCTCGAATGGGCTCTGGCCGACAGAGACTGTGTCGAACACCTCTTGGGAACTGCACCCAAGCTGACGCCTACACCGCCTGCCGCTGCACAGAGTGCACAGGCCAGCTCCGGGACAGCAGCTGTTCCCGTGTTGAGCAAAGAGGACCTAGATGCTTTGAACGCATGGTCAAAGAAAGAATCCCGGGCACAAAACATATTGGCACGTACCATATCCGACTCTACGCTGCAAAAAATCCTCCACAAAGACACCGTGGCCGTGGAAGTTAATCTGTCAAGAAAACGAAAACAAGACAGAATTGGTACAATCGGAACTACGAGACAGACTTGCCGCATTACGCTGTCCAGACAAAGGGGACATGCGAGTTCATGTTGATAAAATTTGTGAGATGTGGGAACAACTGAGCTCTGCGGGGGTACAGCTCAGTGACAAAGAAAAGTCCTTCATGAGAAGCCTACCTTCCAACTACGCGACATTCGTCTCGCAACTATTCGCATCCGCTCACATGACCGGAAATACCATTGATCCCGAGACGCTAATAGTATACCTCCTACAAGAATTCGACCTCATCACAATTTCGACCAAACGACCTGGCAAAAATGAGAACGTTGCTATGTCAGCAATCACGTCGCCCAAAAGAGGAGGCCGAGGTGGTAGAAGTCGAGGTCGAGGCAGAGGAGGGAGATATGATCATAAAGAAAAACCCTCTGACAAAAACAAAGTTGAGTGCTACAACTGTGGGGGAAAAGGGCACATCAGTCGTGACTGCCCCAGCGAAAAACGCGACCGCCGAAACGATACAAAAAGAGACTCACCAAATGACAGAAAACTCAATGGTCAAGAGAATGACCTGAAAGGAAAGAAGCCTGAACAGGCAAACATTGCGATTGTCAAACGCGAAGACGAGGGAATATGGTGTGCAATATCCCCCAAATCTCTGGATGAGGCAACCAAATTAGCGCTATACACAAACGTGGATGGAGTAATGGATAGCCGACAAACCATTATATTATATAATTCGGGTGCCACAACGCACTTCACCCCATACCGCCGTCTCCTAAAGAACTACGAGGAGATAACCCCCCAATCCATCAGCGCAGCGAACCAAAATTCTTTCCCTGCGACGGGAAAAGGAGATTTAGTGATTAGTGTGCCAAACGGAGATGATAAACCCACAAAGATCACCCTTAGGGATGTACTGTATACCCCAGCCCTTGCTCACACTCTGGTATCAATCGGTCGGATTGATCATGCTGGTTACAAGACGACTTTCAACAAGGGAGAATGTGTCATAGAAAACCCCGCAGGCAGGATTGTTGGACAAATCCCGAATGTGGGGGGCATCTATATGTCCCAAGGATCAGAAACCATTGGACATAGGGCTAATGCCGCCATAGGGCAACTCACTGTGATGGACCTTCACAGACGAATGGGGCATATCGCCCCAGAAGCTGCGAAAAGAATGGTTGACCAAGGAATCATCAGTGGAATCAAACTCCTACCATCCACAAACGAGCCACACACCTGCGAGTCATGCGTATATGCAAAAGCAACACGCCAATCAGTCCCAAAGGTCAAAACCGGAGAGCGTGCCAAGGAATTTGGTGACGAGATTCATACTGATCTGTGGGGGCCTGCGTCAGTCGAGACTTTAGGCGGAAAACGCTACGTAGTAGCGTTTACCGAAAACAAGACAAGAGAAACTCACTTACATCTCTTGCGCGAAAAAAGCGAAACTTTCGCAAAATTCTGTGCCTATGATGCGTGGGTTAGAAACCACATGAAAGCGACCATAAAAATCCTGCATAGCGACCGAGGCGGTGAATATATGAGCGACACATTTGACGCTTACCTGAAAGACAAGGGTATCATCAGGAAACTAACAGTCCATGACACGCCAGAGCAGAACGGGGTTGCCGAACGGCTGAATCACACGCTACTTGAACGAGTCCGTGCAATGCTTCATGGCAGTGGAATGCCAAAGTACCTGTGGGGAGAAGCTATATGCCATGCTGTCTGGCTCAAAAATTGTACAACAATGAAGGCCCTCAATGGACAAACACCCCATGAGGCCGCCTACGGCATGAAACCTAATCTCTCCAACCTAAAAGAGTGAGGTTGCCGAGTGTGGGTACACTCACCAGATGGACCCAAGCTTGAAGCACGAGCTCGCGAAGGCCGCTGGATGGGTTTTGACAACGAAAGCAAAGGCCACAGGATTTATTGGCCAGAACGGCAATCTGTGACAGTTGAGCGTTCTGTCATTTTCGATGACTCAACAACACTCACCCCGACGGCAAACGATGTCACCCCTCTTGAGCTTGAGGGGAAGAGTACCTACGATCAATTCCCAAAAGAGAGTGAGATCGTTGAAATAAACTCCAATAACGCACCTCTGGATCTGCCCAATCTCCAAAGAGCCGTTAATCCACCTGATCCCCAAGAAAACCCCTTTCCTGCTCAACCTCCTCCAGTTCCTCCCCCAGTAGCCCCTCGTCGAAGCACACGCCTTCGCCAACCAGCACAATATGTGCGCGACCTATTACAAGGCGAAGGATTAATCAGCGGCACAAACAAGGGCCAAGTCTTACCGAGAGGCATCCCCATTCCTGTGCAAAATGCTGAAGACCCTGAGGGAAATGATGAAGAGGAAAGAGACGACGAAGAAATGAGAGAACTGGCCCAGAATGTGGCCATGGTAGCACGCATGGAGCCGAGAACAATTGAGGAAGCGCAAAAGCGCCCCGACTGGGCCAAATAAGAAGAGGCTATACACGAGGAGTTAGACAGGCTAAAAGCAGCCAAAACCTGGACCTACACTGAAAAGCCAAAGGATGCAAACGTAGTAGGCAGTAAATGGGTCTTCAAAGTGAAGAAGACCGCCACAGGATCCATCGACAAATACAAAGCTCGACTCGTAGCGCAAGGCTACAGCCAAGTCGAAGGAATCGACTACTTTGACACTTTTGCACCTGTAGCAAAGATGGCGTCACTACGAATTATATTAGCAACAGCCGCAAGAAACGACTGGGAAACTCACCAGATGGACGTCAAGAGTGCCTACCTGAACGGAGAACCTGAAGATGGCGAGGTCATTTTCATGCGTCAACCACCTGGCTACAGTGCCCACAATCGAGAATCCATGGTGCTACGCCTGAATAAAACTCTATATGGCCTGAAACAGGCCGGTCGCAGGTGGTATCAAACCTTATGCAATGGACTCCGAAAGATAGGCCTAGTACGCTGCAAAACTGATCATGCAGTGTTCTACAGGAGGAATGGAGATGAACTCACCATCATTGCTGTCCATGTTGACAACATGACCCTAATTACACCATCTGCGGCTGAGATGAAACATTTAAAGATCAACCTAAGCAAATTATTTGAGGTGAGCGATCTAGGCGAGCTCCACTGGATGCTGGGCATTGAAATCAAGAGAGACAGGACTGCCCGCACCTTGTACATGTCCCAACGCAGTTACATCGATACGGTGGTCAGACGCTTCAACGTTGCAAGCACGTACCTGACCAAAAATCAAAGTCCTAAATCACCTGAGGATTACGCAGAAATGCGAGACGTCCCGTACCAAGAAGCGGTAGGATCACTAATGTACGCAGCAATCGGGACTCGCCCCGATATTGCACACGCCGTCGTCGCAATCCTCTCGCACTTTGTTGAAAACCCAGGTCCGGCCCATTGGGAGGCGGCAAAGAGGGTAGTCCGATACCTAAAGGGAACCAGGGAATTATGGTTAGCATACGGTCCGGATGGACAACCTCTTACCGGATATAGCAACGCAGATGGGAGCATGAACGATAATAGGTCAGCCATATCTGGCTACGCCTTGATGGTTGATGGAGGCGCTGTATCGTGGTATTCTAAACAACAGGAAATTGTCGCGCTGTCAACAACAGAAGCCGAATATGTGGCCGCGACGCATGCAACTAAAGAACTACTATGGGCAAGGATGTTTATAAATGAGTTATTTGACCAAAGTCTACCACCGACTAACCTCCTATGTGACAATCAATCCGCAATAGCTCTTTCCAAAGACGGTCAATATCACGCACGCACAAAACATATCGATATCCGATATCACTTCATCCGACATGCTATAGAAGACGGAAAAATTGAAATCACCTATTGCCCAACCGAAGATATGACAGCAGACGTACTTACGAAGGCTCTGCCCTCAGCCAAGGTCAAGCACTTTGCAAGCGCTCTTGGACTCCGTACAGCTTGAGGGGGAGTGTTGGAGGAATAAGGGAGATACAAGCCTCGTACGGCGTAGTACAAAGGCAAGAAGTGGCACAAGGGCCAAATTGGGAAAGTCCAGTAGTTGAGGTGGCCCGTGCACCTAATATACCGCATCAGAAAATTTTTGGTTCCATCTTCACTTATATACGCTGCCGTTGTCAGGCAGACACCTCAGACCTTCTCTCGAATTCTGAGTTTATTACTTGCTAGATAATTAACACCCAGTACGTCGAAGGCCAACAAATACTGAGAACACTGCTTAAAAGCAGAGCTAGAGCATACTTCAGAACGCTGACGGTACGTTATGATTGTCCTAAAATTTGACTCACTTGCTGTTGTTGAATGCTGTAGCGCTCTTATGAACGTTCTGCTGTAATTTGATATCCTTTTCTTTTTCTTCGCCATGTCGAGCGATAACAGACATATTAGTAGACAAGAGAAGGACATTGGGCGAGACGTACAAACCTTCTTTCCATGCTGATATTCGGGAGCTCAGATAAATGTTATTGTTGTGGTGTATATATGACGTCATCTCTGCGACCTTGCATCAAAGGTTATAATATCCTCAGTTCACTATGTCAGCAAATCATGGGGCATACATACGGTTCTGAAAAACTGTATATGACATTCATGCGGACTGTGAACACTTTTCTGGGGTAACGTGGAACATAATTATAGCGTGAGCCAACAGGGATGTAGTTATGTCGATTTCCACTTGCCCGCAATGTGTGCACAGTGAATTACTTGATCAATTGACCCGGTTGTAAGGACTCCTACATCACCAGGAAATAACTCATTGTCAAAGCCGTGGTTATCTCAATAAGATATATTAACTACGACTTACTGTAAAGTAATACATGGAGTCACCAAACGAATGTGCATATAACAGAGATGTCAGATCAAAGAAACACAAACATCAGTGGTAGTAGTCCGTGGAACGAGTTATGTCGACGAGCATTTGGATTTTATTGCCAGGGATCATCCAACATCATCTGCGTCACAAACTCGATACCCTCCTTTCTGTACGTGTCTTGTGTAATGTTGGCCGGAATTGAGCCATCCAAGAAAGTCAAGAGGCTGGGTGTCTCGTTCTTGTATTGAGGCCAGTTAATCCCTGTGTTTCCACTAGGATCAAGGTTTGCCACGAAACGAACGGATTAAGTAGTCCGTCATATCGGCAGAACCATAGATGATGTCTATGTCTGAACCATGGAACTACATCGAGATCGTCAGTTTTCAATCTCAAAGGATGTTAGAACATCCTTTTACAGCGCCAAGCCCGGGAGTATCCTTCATCCGTTTGCTAACTGTTTACCAATCGTTAGCCATCAAACTTGGGGTCGATTATGTCAATACTCACGGAAAGACCAGGTCTTTTGGTGACCAGAACGTGCCTGCAAGAGGAACCGGCGAGGGCCTTGGAAATTGATATCACCAAGGAAGGCAGCTACACGCTTGAACTGCGGCGTCACCGTGTTGTTGTTGCCAGTATATCGGACAACATAAGTAACACAATTGAATCTGTCAGCTGTGTAATACGTACCACAACTACAGGTAGCTTTGAGCTTGGCGTGGCATTGGCCGGCTTGTAAACATTTATTGTAAGACCTGTACAACAAACATATTCAGTTTTGAACACTATTAGTATAAAAGAACACACAATCCTCGCTCTGTGGACTGGCATTTAGAAGTACAGAGGCAAGAATAGCTTCAGTTTCAGCAGTCAAGTTCCCAAAAGGGATTCTGGTGGTCTGTTGTGGACAGATCAACCCGTAGACCGAAGCATCGTAAGTGCCTCTGTACGGTGGGACAGCTCGAGGGAGGTGAAAACGGAGCTTGCCAAACTAATTATTATTATTTAGACTATGGAGCTGACGAATAAATGAAAGTGCTCACGGAGGTTGCGTGTAAGGTATACCCAAGAATGCTGAAACACTTCCGTTAGTGGTGCCAGTGAAGATGGCATGATCCAACTTCACGGAAGGTGGAGATAAAGTAGTTGCAGTTATCACATAAAGTAGTACGTGAAATATTTTGTCTGCAACCGCTGCAGACAGAATCTTCCACCACTCCATTAGTGGTGATAGCTTGAATGCGAGATTAAGGGTAAAAGGTACTAAAGGATGGTGAATGAGCAGAGGTCGACCCATCATCCTCTTTATACCTTTACGGCTAGCAGTCCTTGTGGGCCACGATGCAGGCCTTATAAATTGACTTCTCATGGTGCATGGCAACTACGGCAAACCAGATTCAGTATTGTAGAAATTCAGCCCAAGTTAGCTTTGTAGGGGGTGGATCGTGACACCTAGATCACGATGTACCAATGGAGTGACGAACCTAATTTTCGGCTTAGGCGCTTCCAAAATTCGAATAGCACTTTGTGCTTGTTGGCAGAGTTCTAGTTTGCCACAATGGGAATATCGCTCGAGTCTCATCGTTGACTTTTGCTCTGTTCAATATGAAGTTTGTGCACCCTAGTTTGTCTGCGTTGTGACCCTAGACATTCCACGAGTATTTGCTTGGTCTTTCCTGGTAAGCCGGTCCAGGGCTGCCCAGCGGGCGATGATATATTACATTCTGGCTGCACGTAACTTCAGTCTTAAAGGCACTGGCCATATGGACTGCACGTAGAATGCCCAACACACCAACTAGTTCTTCAGATAGATCCAGAAGTACATGTAGCAGGTATGACAGTTTCACGGTGTTGGTATGGCAGACACCCTCCTGATAACAAAGCTGAAGCGGCGGGCCCAATGAGTGACACAACGATAAAAACCAAAAATATTGTCATCGTGCTCGTTAATGACGCGTGATCGCAATTTCCAGCTGTTTAGTTGCTTGATGATCCCTTCAAACCGCACAATGACTTCATCCATGTTGGGCCGCTTTTCTGGGTCATCCTGTACCATGACTTTCACCAACGGTTCCACGAATTCAAAACCTGTTTTGGCCTTGATAAAAGTAATGCGTAATCAGTTCCTTGAGAAACCCCAAAAGTGACACACCAGCAAGAATGAGTCCCTGATCATATTTCCCAGATAGTATACGTCTGTTGGGAATGGATTGCGAGGCTCATTCGACTGCTGGAATTCTGGAACTGTTTTATCACCTCCCCATATCGGATCTTCCAGAGGAGCTATATCATTAGGACCATAGCGGCGTGATATACCAAAATCGACAAATAGATATTTTGGCGGACGCTGGGTACGAGTGTAATAGCTAACCCGCCCTGTGTAATCGCGTTTCATTTCAAGATCTTGAGGGTGATACGGGTCGACAAATAGAGGTGTTGCATCCATCATGATGTTTAGATTCAAGCAGTCACTGTATAACTTTCAGCAATGAATCATATAATAGTTATGGTACATACCGATGGGCGACGTGATGTTTGTGCATGAATCGTAAACCCTGGTGAAAGAAACCGTTTGAAAACTTTATTTTTATTTTTGAGTGACTGATGCACTTACTACGAAAATTTGGCGAAGAAAGTCGACCACTTCCCCGAAAGTGTCGAAGGGCGGATTGTCGAAAAAACGCAATAAAGGCATCACAATAATAGCACGATCCTCGTCATCCGGTACAACAAGCACATCGTAAAATGGTACACAATGGTTGGCAGGGTCGGATAAAAGTGGTTCTGTCGAAAAGAACTGGCCTATTTCAATCTCGAAAGGATGTAGTGACTTTTTGAACAACTTCAAAGTTACAAAGGCCCCATCAGATATTCGAGTGGCATCCAACACCTGCTCTACCTGTTAATTGACCCACTGTCAACCAAAGCGACACACGAGTTCACTACTACATACGAGTGGACCTTGTCTATCTTCACACTCCACCCATGATACATTGGTGGTTTTCCATGAAGGGAACCAGTCTGGAGCATAGCGACTGCGGAGCAAATACCCGCTGTCCTTCAACCACTGATAGTGCTTACACCACCACAATTCGCCTGTACTATGTCGACCGGGAGATCTCGGGCGGGGGCCAAAGAGTAAGAGTGCACTGCGCTCATACTGTGCAACCAGCTCAGCTATCCTCGCCTCTTCCTCTGCCTTACGCTGGCGACGACGAGCGAGCATTCGAAAGTAAACACACGCAGGAAGGTTACTGCTGGTGATGCAATCGTTCGATGTACCAAACACATATAAATATGGACCTGAATGTCACAATCGATGTTGTATTCATAATCGACATGGCATGCTTTCCAATCTCGGACTACAAGCTTCAGCGCTTATACTCAGCACTCAATCTTGGGTCCCGATACGATGCATATGTCTTCAAGTTGTATCAAAATCGAGCATGAATCTTTACCGGAGAAAGCCTCAAGTTGGACTTGGATACATATGATTCACTTGTTAAGCCCATATTCTTCCTGAACGTTATCCTCTCATCGAATCACAGAACATTGAATGCTCACAAAATCTATTACTGTGACGCTAGTAGAATTTGATTGCTGTGACTTGGACACAAAAGGAATTGATTGACATATGTATTAGACAGGCCTGTGACAAGTTGATAAGTTAATTCCGTTTTCTTTTCTTTTTTATTTCGTTCTTCATATATAAGTGTTTAAATAATGCACTTGTGAGCCACTCTGATCTCTACAGATTCCCTGATACCAGGCACAATATCTTCCTCAGACCTGCGGGTTGACCTTCTACGACTTTGAAAACCTTTTAAAACCTTCCCCACAGACTTCAGGATGGTGAACCGTCAAGTTGTTGAGGAAAATCTAGCTAGTTTGAGTAGACTTGAGTCCCTCGTTGCACTATCCAAAAATATCTCAACGCGCTCTGCAATGGAGAGGGGCATGATTTATCAACAGATATCCATAGATTTGATTCTCCAGTCAGCAAATTTCCCTTAGGACTTCCGCAGAAGGAGAACCGCTACTGGACAGCTCAGACGTGGAGGAGATCAACAGAATCAGGGGTCGTCTTGACGTGTAATTATTCGTTTCAAGAGCTTTTAATTCATAGTTCTCACCTACCCATTCCTAAGTTAGCCTGTCCAACTCTCTAGAAGTTGATAGGGCAAGGAAGAGCTCATGGAACCCCGCACAAATCATAAAGTCATACTTGTTACATCGACAGCATGTTGAACAGAGTCTGCAGATTCTACAATTGGCCCGGGTGAGCATCGGTTAAATCAGACTTTAGAAGGTTACTTATAATCATGCAGGGTACTTCAAACACCATCTTGAGAAAGTTACTTACTGCAGATCGTGAGTGATCAGCCTGCATAATTCTCTGCATACTATGCCTTTATTGAACCACGCTGACTGAGCCTTGAACCCTTTTCCCTTCCCTAGTCTCGGTCTGCGAAACACTCTCAAGTAGCACAGCAAGCTTTATCACTGCGGTTGAATACATGACTCATGGTGTGTTACTCAAGTTTCAGGGGTCCATTCATGTTTAGCTTTAAATTGTTTCCTCCATCCATCTATTTTATGCAGAGGCGGAACCTGCAGATGATTGTGGAAATGCTACTGAGGAGTTTCAAGGAGGCCCGCCACAGTCATCCGGGTCTGACGGCGACGATAATCAAGGCCAAGATCAAGTGGAGTTTCAAGGAGGCCCGCCACAGTCATCCGGGTCTGACAGCGACGATAACCAAGGCCAAGTTTTTGATCAAATAAGAAGCGTCTTTGAGGGTATTCAAGGTGTGCTCACCGCCCCTCAAGCCTCGGAAAGGGCTATAAATGTGAACCTTTTCTTTCACAACATCTTACACATGGGCTCGGGACCCAGTACCAACCCAATGGTTGCGAGTGGGTCAAATCATATGGGTGGAAGTACGCTATATCTTTTGTAACTGGAATGAAAATTTGACATATATGACCTCCACGTAGACGGTGTACGTACAACTTCCGTTTCCCCACCATCTGCACCAAATGCATCTCAGGGCCAATGATTATAGCAGATGAAAGATGGTTAGAGTTGAAAATCCGTCATTTCCTGTGCGGCTTTTAGTATGCCCACAGCTATGGACAAAATTTGTCTAGTGTGGAACATCTAGGTTCAACACCTATATGAATTCCGACTATTATCAACATAACAGAAAATAGACTGGTGTACTACCGATGTATAGTGAATATCAAACAGCTTCAGAACGTGATTCAATTCCTAGCTTGAAATGGGAGTCAATACTAGTACACCCTTTCGTCTTTCCTGCTCAGCTACCTCAGCAACTATTAATCAGGCAATTGGGGAAGTCTGAGAGAGAGAAATTCCATTTTTTGTATACAGTTGCATATTCTACGACCAAGAGAGAGAAAAGGGTAGAATTAGAGTATATGTAGAGGAGTATGAATTGTAACTTTGATGTCTATGGTGCTACAAATCAATCACAAACAGTGAAGCCAGGGAGTCTATACACGATGGGCGTGAGCTGGTTTCGGTCAGGCTGGACTGGAGATAGGTAATAACCAGGATTACCAACATTGGTAACTCCTCCAACCATGCCTCAGTGCTCCCAGAACCGAGAAGAAAGGCAGTGCTGCTACAAAGCTGGTACCCTGCTGAAACAATTTGTTGAGCTCTGATTGGCTATTGTGACAATACCCCAAAGTTTGTATACACTGGTGCACACAACAAGGAACTCAAGAAGAAGTTGTGATGAGAGAAGATGAGTTGATAGACTCAAAGTAGGAGCTAGTTGGTTGATGGTATTCAACGGGAGGACTCACTGAGGAGTCTTCATCTATTGCAAGGGTATATATACTAAAATACATGTAGTACTGTGCAGTTGCTATAAATAAATGTAAACATTCCACAATGTTCCATTGTATTCTATATGATGTCACTAAATAAAGTGTCTAATGCCATAACATGTGACCAGTCTGTGAGCTGTCAATCTAGACAACTGTAATTGCTATAGTAAGTTTAGCATGTATATAGTTGTGGGATGTATCATTGGTACTCACATGTCAGAAGTCCAGTGGAAACTGAAGACATCTGACAGTGTAGAGTCCGACATTTGTGGTTCAGTGGCTATGCTGATTAGCAATTGTAAGTATAGTCTGTCAATGTATTGCTTTAAATCAACACTCCTCCTCAGTCATGGCATAGGCCGAGCATTCCACTCAGCTTTTTCATCCTTGCTCTAGGGAGTGTCTTGGTGAATATATCCACAATCATATCATTAGTAGGACAATATGTGATATTGTAACAACCAAAGTTTGGATACTCTAGCACACAGCTCAGGCAGGCAAGTGTGAGGGAAACAGGAGTGGATAAACACCTTAGGGTTAGGACCAAGTTAGTTGTGGGTAAACAACAGGAGGACTTGCTGAGGAGTCTCCTTGATCTATTGGGCTTTATATATATTTACAGGCTATTTGTACATGTATACTATACAGTTAATGAAGGGAGTGGCTGATGATGTCATAGGGCACAGCCCAAGTGACCAGCTCCACTGCGTGAGAGACTTGTAGCTAAGAATAAAGAAAAGCAGTGCAGCACAATGTTGATGATGAGAACTGTTGTTACAAAACCACACACAAAAAACAAACAAACACACAATCCTCCCAGATTCCACGGAACTTGTTTATGGGCTGAGCCGCCTAGAACAGTGGGTGCTCTGGTTGTTTGTGGGGTGGTATGTATGACAATCCTTCAAAGTAAAACCCAGAGATGTATGGGCGTGGGTTTTGAGGAGGAGGGATAGTTGGAATATAGAAAATAGGGGCTTTGTGGCGAGTATAGCACAAGGTAGGTTTGAGAATGACAAGATAACGAGGTTCCCAGTGATAGTAGGCTCCTGACGCACAAACTGTAGTGCTCAGAAGGACTCTAATTAAAAGGGATGATAATGATTTCAAAAGTGGAGAGTAACAATGACAGCAGATAACAGTGGTAGCAGTGGGAAGCATTGTGACCACACTGGATCACAAGTAGCAGAGTAGAGAACTTGAGATTTAGAGAAGAAGTCTGGATTCGAGTTCTTGTTCTTTTACAAGGTAAAATACAGGGGTTTATATAGTAAAAAAAAGGTAGGCTATGCACAGTATAGCTGTGCAAAAAGAATGAGAAAGAACATGAAGGAAAGAATGTATGCTGACAAATCCTGCGTAGGTAGTACAGGATAAGATTGTCAAAATAAGGAAAAGAAAGAGCTAGAACAATGAATGCTGTGTAAGTAATGTTACAGGTTTGTACAGCCATAAAGTAAAGTCCAATAGCAGAAAGAGAGCAAGAAAATTGTGATGTCATGAGAAGATGCAGTAAAAAAAAGGCAAGGCAAAAATATCAGTATCAACACAGTTCCTTTATTGTCAGTCAGGCATTCTAAAAAAATATTTGTCCATAAAAATGATTCAAAAATCAAAAATAATCGTACTGTAAATGAATGTTCTGCTGCAAAAAAGAAACTGGAGCCACCGGTCCACCACCTAGTCCAAATCCAACGGTTCCATGGCCTTACCAATGGACTGGTTATATTGGACCACCTGGTCAAACAAGGGAGGGAGGGGAGTAGTTCCAATTTGGAACAAGTGAGTCCCAGGCAGTGTGTGGTAGGCATAGCTGTAGCAAAGACAATGGACGAAAGATAACTGTACCCAGGTGAATGGAACAGCGATATATGTGGGTGACTTAAGGGGATGAACCTTCTCCTGCTCAAAAACTACCCACCCACGCTCCAACCAGGGGAGACAAGCGACCAATGTTTTGATGGTATACAATGGAAGATCGATGTCATGAAGATGGACCTGTTGCCCAACTTGGACCAGCCGCCAGGGCTTTGCTGATATCAGCAGTGGCACGTGGTGGTTGATGGAAGCAGATAGAGAGTGGTAACATCAGATATGGTGGGGGAGCAAAGAAGATAAGGAGGGTGGAGGTGACGAGGAGGTGAACTAAAATGGGGATCCAGAAGCGACTGTCAGGTGAGAATAAAAATGAGAGTAAGGGACCCATGGTGGGGCTAGGCAAAGGAAGGGAAGTGAAGGAAACGACCAAAGTGAGGGCACAATGCAATGTGTAGCCAGTGGCGGTGCAAAAATTTGCCAAAATGCTGAAACGCGGAAAGTACTGAATGGAAAAGCAAAGGTGAGCGTGACTGAATTCCCTAATAGAGGTGGTGCTGATCAGCCACAAGTTTGAAAAAATCAATATTAATTACTATTCCATGCTGTGCCTGTGTGGCGCAAAGGCGAGTCTTTTTGAATATTCACTTCGTTATTGACACCTGTCCATGCTACCAATCAACTTTGGTGCATGACAGCAGATAAAAGAAGGAGATGAGTGGAAGGCTGCCTTTAAAACCAGTAAAGGTGTATTTGAACCTACAGTTATGTTCTTTGGAATGTGCAACTTGCCTATGACATTTCAACGGCTGATGAACAACAATTTCAGGGACTACATAGATGAAGGATAGATGGTGGTATACATGGATGATATCCTGATCTTCAATACTGATATCAAAAGTCTATAAAAATGAACAAAATGCATACTACAATAACTCCGAGATAACAATCTGTTTTTACAACTGGAAAAATGTATCTTCAAAGCCACAACAATAGAATATGTGGGCATGATTGTGTCACACAATCAAGTCTTGATAGATCCTGCCAATTTGGCAGGAATATATGATTAGCCCACACCAATGGACACAAGGGACATCCAGAAGTTTCTAAGATATGGAGACTTCTATCAAACATTTATCAGACACTACTCAGACTTGGCAAGCTGTTGAATGCCCTGCTTGAAAAAAACTGGAAGTATGGCAGCCACCTGTGATGTGGCTTTACATGGTGATTCAATATATTTGTGTGACTGGACATATTCATATATAGAATATAGGCTGCAAAAATTTCTGTGCACCCATTAAAAGGACTCATGTTCAAATTGTAAAAAAAACTTATTCTTTGCAGATCACTTTGTGCTCACCACCACCAGTCCTTTATTTTGACGTGACACCTGGAATATCTCCCAGTTTTTTGCCAAGAAAGTATTTTAAGTTGCCTACTATTAGTGGTAATATTACTTGCTCTGAACTAACAGGAATTGTTTATCTGGGACAACACCCTACTTCTCAAATACTAGGTCCTGATGGTCAAGTCTGGGAATATGATAGGCAGGTCTAGGATGCCAGTCCTATATTTGAGAACATAATACCTCATTTGCTCATGTTAAGAAGCCACAATGCACATGCTTATCTGTTTGCTCTGAGGTGAGGTACCTCCTGTTCTAGGATAGAAGCACTCATCCAACTCAGTCCATCCTTGAATGTTCACCATCCACCACAAGGCTTTAAATACTCTACAACATTTGCTATATACCTCAATCCAAATCTGTAGCCCTTAATCTGCTTGTATCTTTTATTTTTCTGCTCTTGTCTTTGTGTCATATCTCTATCTTCACTGTCCTCAACCCCTACTTCTCCCACTCTGAACCCTACATCCTGACAATGATGTATTTACTCTGATCTCTCCAGTCAATAATAGCAACAACAATCAGCTACCCTCCATAGCAGATGTCAACCACACTGCAATTGCAGAGCCCCTTTCTGCCTTGTGGTGCTCGCTCCTAGAGTATGCAAATTCTACAATCACTGCTTCTGACGCACACATTGCTACACTCAGCAAAGTTAACAATCCACACTCTTGGAAAACAATGAAGAAAAGTGCAGATTATTGGGTTAACTTATCTGGTAACCTATATACTATGAAATTTCCCACAATCCTCAACTGGGATGGGTTTTTTGACTAACTTGGACCTTATATCCATTCAACATGGGGTACATCTTTTCATTTTTTCTTTAGCAACCTTCTAAGCCTTTTTTCAAGCTTGACATAGATTCTATGCGGAAGGCAATGGCACAGGACTGCCAGACAAAAGGAAGCCCACAGCTTCAAATATTGGTACCACAAGAATCAAGTTGTTGACCAGTACCATCCTATCCCCCAAGTACTTTTTTTCCATTTGTACCCACACACCTATGCTAATTTTGTCACTATTGCAGGTAAAATGATTGCTTCCACCCCCGTTACACCATCTGACAAAGGGAAAGCACCATCTTCATCAGCTGCATGTGGTGTTCACAACTGGAGTGTTGCAGACCTGCCTGATCCTGAAGGGTACTTTGAAAAAGTGAGCTAGACCTATCTTTGGTCAAAGTTGTTGTGCCTGATGTCCATGGCAACAATGGGGTCCTTATTTATCCATCTGAATATTCCCAGAAGATACCTTCCAGATGTATGGTGGTCACTTACAGCTATAAGTCACCCATTCAATCATTAGTACAAGCTCATCTCACACAGTCCAACATCTACAGGTGAAACATCCCACTGCAGACAGGATCCTGGAATAAAAATGGCGCAAAAAACAATGGTAGCCACACATACTGCACATACTGCCCTGTACTTCACTCTATGCATCTCTTACCTAAACAAGTTGGTGCACAAAAAGCATTGTTCTGACCTCTTCCTCCTATTGTTGATGAAGACAACAGTGACCTGTCCAGAAAGTGGAAAGCTAATAATGATGATCAACCAGACACAAGCACTCCCACTAAACAAACCCTCCGTTCAAAAAAAAAAGGGGAAGGAGGCCCAGTCTCAAAGTTGTCACAACAATAAAGACCCGGTTGAGGCAGGTGAGATCCCAGATCTCTCAGACCCTTTCTTTATGTTGGAGATATAAAGGGCTTTGAGGTGTTGTGTTTACCGCTTAGTTTGCTTTTTGAATACTGTGAGTTTTTTGCATGGTATTATTTTCTTGTACCTTGATCAATGCTCATAATCATTAAAGTAAAAAAACAAATATCTCATTTGTCACTGTTTTATTGCAAGATTTTTCATTTATTAGACTTTTTTTACATGTAGAATCATGAAATATGATTATTATCTTCTGACTTGAGACTTATTAAAAGAGTTCAAAAATCAGAGTCAGGGACTGGCATGCATGCCGCTATAATTTAACTGTAGTAGATGAGATAATGTTGCCCCCTGGGCACCCCTGGTACCAAAGTGGCTGGTGTTTTGAGTGTGTGCAGCATGGCAAGCTCAAAGTACAGTGCCAAAATTTGGAAGGTCAGGGCAGCTAGTGCTCATAGGTGATTACAAGACCTAGTAACCTGATGGTACCAGGATTATATCAATAGGAATTCTGGATTGAAGTTTGATGGGGTTTGCTTGAGATAATCCAAGAAGCTGAGAGTAACAAAAAGGCTTACACAAAGTCAAGACTATGTCAGTGTAAATACTAGTAGTGCTTGTCTAACAGATTGAGCACTATATTGTTATCTTGCTTTACTTATCACACAACACTCAGTTGACCACAGGTCTATTTCACTGTATGATGGTGTAAAGGTAAGATCTACCCTTACCTAATCACATTGAGTGATAGGTATGTTTTTAAGTACAATGTAAGTAAGACCTCATATGGAAACTTCATTTTTTTTTTTCATTTTTTTCATCTTTCTTCTCAGCTAAGATCCTGCTATTAAAGCTGGTGTTGAAATAACAATGGTACATTGATGTGTCCCCTTCTATATATGGTAACTAGGTTGAACCTAGACAATCCTCTGATGCTTAGGGGTGTTAAACAGCATGGAACAGACTGGTTTCCTTTGTTTATACTTATAATGTTCTTTCCTTTACATTCCTTTCCTTTCCATACTTTGTTCTATTCTAGTTTACATATGGGTATTGTCAGATACATGCCAGAAGGCATAACTCCAGAATTCCAAAGAGGATATTTCTCAAGTCCGAACCCCCCCGATGTCATGCACCAAAGTTGATTGGTAGCATGGACAGGTGTCAATAACGAAGTGAATATTCAAAAAGACTCGCCTTTGCGCCACACAGGCACAGTGCCACGTGGAATAGTAATTAATATTGCCCTTTTCGAACTTGTGGCTGATCAGCACCACCTCTATTAGGCAATCCAGTCACGCTCACCTTTGCTTTTCCATCCGGTACTTTCCGTGTTTCGGCATTTCGGCAAATTTTTGCATCGCCACTGGCTACACATTGCATTGCGCCCTCGCTTTTGTCGTTTCCCTTACTCCCCTTCCTTTGCCTAGCCCCACCATGGGCCCCTTCCTCTCCTTTTTATTCTCACCTGACGGTCATTTCTGGATCCCCATTCTAATCCACTTTTTCGTCACCTCCACCATCCTCCTCCTCATCTTATTTGCACCCCCACCATTTCTGATGTCACCACTTCCTATCCGCTTCCGTCGCCGATCCGTAGACTACCACGTGCCACTGCTGATATCAGCAAAGCCCCGGCGGCCGGTTCAAATAGGGCAACAGGTCCATCTTTATGACGTCGATCTACCATCATATACCATCAAAACATCGGTCACTCGTCTTGCCTGGTTGGAGCGTGGGTGGGTAATTTTTGAGCTGGAGAAGGTTCATCCCCTTGCGTCGCCCATGTTCATCGCTGTCCCATTCACTTGGGTACACTTATCTTTTGTCCATCGTCTTCGCTACAGCTACACCTACCACACGCTCCCTGGGACTCACTTGTTCCAAATTGGAACTACTCCTTATTAAGAACAAAGCTTGAAGGAAGTGTCTAGCCACTTGCTGAGAGCAATCAGGGACTGGAACTAGAGTCCAATGTGAGTAACTTTATTATTAGAGAGTATGACAGGTATACAGTACCTAGAGTCCAATGTGAGTAACTAGAGAATAGGAAGCATTGGACTCTGCAGTACTGTCCGATGTTTTGTAAACAAAGGTAAACAAAGCAGCCACAAAGGCGAAATAATAGAGAACACAATCAATACTGAATGGTAGAGGGATAGATAGAGAAAGGAATGAAAATATAGAGGTAGCATAAAGGTGCAGAATCACCAAAACTAACACTCCTCTCCCTCCCTCGTTTGATCAGGTGGTCCAACACAACCAGTCTATTGGTAAGGCCATGGAACTGTCGGATTTGGACTAGGTGGTGGACCGGTGGCTCCAGTTTCTTTTTTTCCCAGCAGAACATTCATTTACAGTGCGATTATTTTTGATTTTTGAATCATTTTTATGGACACATATTTTTTAGAATGCCTGACTGACAATAAAGGAACTGTGTTGATACTGATAGTGTTTTGCCTTGCCCTTTTTTTACTGCATCTTCCCATGACATCATGATTTTCCTGCTCTCTTTTTGCTATTGGACTTTACTTTATGGCTGTACAAACCTGTGACATTACTCACAGCATTCATTGTTCTATCTCTTTCTTTTCCTATTTTTGACAATCTTATCCTGTACTACCTACGCAGGATTCGTCAGCATACATTCCTTCCTTCATGTTCTTTCTCATTCTTTTTGCACAGCTACACTGTGCATAGCCTACTTTTCTTTCACTATATAAACCCCTGTATTTTACATTGTAAAAAAAAAAACAAGAACTCCAATCCAGACTTCTTCTCTACTCTCAAGTTCACTACTCTGCTACTTGTGATCCAGTGTGGTCACAACACTTACCACTTCTACCACTGTTAACTGCTGTCATCGTCACTTGTCACTTTTGAAAGTGATTGTCATCCCCTTCGATTAGAGTCCTTCTGAGCACTACAGTTTGTGCATCAGGAGCCTGCTATCACTGGGAACCTCGTCACCTCGTCATCCTCGTTGTTCTCAAACCTACCTTGTGCTACAATTAGCAAGGTAGTGCTCGTCTATACTCGTCACAAAGCCCCTATCTTTCTATAAATTCAACTATCCCTCCTCCTCAAAACCCACACTCATACACCTTTGGGTTTTTTACTTTGAAGGATCTTTATACGTACCACCCCACGAATAACCAGACCACTCCACTGTTCTAGGAGGCAAAGCCCATAAACAAGTTCCGTGGAATCTGGGAGGATTGTGTGTTAGTTTGTTTTGTGTGTGGTTTTCTAACTGCAGTTCTCATCTTCAACACCGAATCTTTTGGTACTCTCAGGATTATGCTCCTCATGTTCTGTGTTCAGCATAACACTGTACCTCACCTCCACATGGTACTCCAGACATCCGCTCTGATACTCCTGCGCTAGACTTCTAGTCCACCATACATTTCCTCTGCACATTTTCATATTCCTCATGGACTCTGTAGTTCTAGACCTTATGATACACTCCTCCCACACATGGTTTCCCCTTGCTAGATAGTTGTGTGTACCATAAGGTCTAACTACAGAGTTCATAAGGAAACATAAAAACATGTAGAGGAAATATATGGTGGACTAAAAGTCTGGGGCAGGAGAATTGGGGCGGGTATCCAGAGTACCATATCAAGGTACAGGACCATTCAGAGTAGCAGAGCATGAAGAGCATAAGTCTGGGAAGACTGAAGACTCAGGAATTTGGACTTGACTGTTCAGAGGTTTGGGTTTCTTGGTCTGTCACACAGATATGACAATTTGTCTTATTTGGATGTATATCCATTTTGGACAGAACCCATCAAGTATATCTTCACCATCTCCAAAACTGTTTAAGTTATTGTAGATGAACAGATTGCACAACCCCAGCTGAGGCCATACCACAATTCCATCCTGACAGGTTATGGCTGAGCAAGAGAGTTAATAGATGGGCATCTATATTATATCAGGATCTGGTTTGGTGTGCAGCTAGAGATCTTTTGAAAGCTTTTAGACTTATTGCATGCTTATGGGTACACAGACTTTGATTAAGGAGCAACTGTCAAAATTCCTCTCTTTATGTGTCACCAGGTTATCTATTCACCACATTGCTGGACATTTTTAATGTTCAAATGACATAATTACCAAGTACTTCAAGCAAATGCTTCACATACTATAGTTATAAATTTCTGTCTTAGACAAAGCATTATTATCTGATAATGTTACTATATAGATGGAGCCAGCAGAATCTGGCAGAGTGGGCCAGCCAGGCCATTTTCAATGTAATAAGATAGGGGTCCAAGCACACCTGTTTAGGACAATTTATCCATGCCACAGGCTAGGAAACCTGAACCTCTGAACAGTCAAAAACCCCCAAATCCAAACTCCTGAATCTTCAGTCTTCCCAGAATCATGCTCCTCATGCGTGCTCTGCTGCTCGGCATAGCCCTGTACCTTGCTTCCATTGAGTATATATATACTACTACAGGTTTGTGTGTACATATATATGTACTACACAGTTGATAGATGTGGTGGCTGATGATGCCATAGGGTGCAGCCTTTGTGACCAGCCCCACCACGTGAGAGAGTTGTAGTTAAAAATAAAAGGAAGCAGTGTAGTGCAAGAAAGTGAATGTCAGGCAACAAATACGAAGCTATATAACAAAACTCAATGCCTGGTCAAGTCCTTGATGAAAGGCGGTGAAGCAGGGTATGAGAGTTGAAGAGTATTGATATGGGCGTGAATCTAAACTAATATTGAACTAAGGAATAATACATCAAGTATGTACTTCCTTATATAGTGGACAACAATGGTCAGACCAAGAAAGGGAAGAGTTAAGAAAGTGGTCTGACCAATTAACTAACCAATAAGAAAAGAAAGAGAAAGTGGTCCGATCTATCATATTTACTAATCGCATGAGAGAAAGTATTGGTAAAAGGTGTATAATTGGCTGTATCAGTAAACCCATGAGAAGGCGCTGACTCATAGCCTTCCTTGCTTATCAATATCCCTCTGAAGTATTCCCAGACATAGCATTGGATCATTGCTATGTCATCTGGATATCTTCTCGAGGGTCTACAACAGTTCTCCTTCGTTGTAAGTACGATAAGACGTGAGTATGAATGGAGAATAAGAAGAAAAGGATAAAAGTAATAGAGTGCCAGCTGTAATCTCTAGTCCAAGAGCGAGAGGAGTGACAGGGAATGAATTGGTGTCGATGATGAGAACTGCTGTTAGAAAACCACACACAAAAACAAACTAACAAACAATCCTCCCAGATTCCACGGAACTTGTTTATGGGCTTTGCCTCCTAGAACAGTGGGTGCTCTGGTTGTTCATGGGGTGGTATGTATGAAGATCCTTCAAAGTAAAACCTAGAGATGTATGGGTGTGGGTTTTGAGGAGGAGGGATAGTTGAATTTATAGAAGATAGGGGCTTTGTGACGAGTATAGATGAGCACTACCTTGCTAATCATAGCACAAGGTAGGTTTGAGAACGACAAAGATGAAGAGGTGACGAGGTTCCCAGTGATAGCAGGCTCCTGACGCACAAACTGTAGTGCTCAGAAGGACTCTAATCGAAAGGGATGACAATGACTTCAAAAGTGGGAAGTGACGATGACAGCAGTTAACAGTGGTAGCAGTGGGAAGTGTTGTGACCATACTGGATCACAAGTAGCAGTAAGAAGTGAACTTAAGGTTGGAGAAGAAGTCTGGAACCGAGTTCTTTGTTTTTTTTACAAGGTAAAATACAGGGGTTTATATAGTGAAAAGAAAGGTAGGCTATGCACAGTATAGCTGCGCAAAAAGAATGAGAAAGAACATGAAGAAAGGAATGTATGCTGATGAATCCTGCATAGTTGATACAGGATAAGATCGTCAAAATAAGGGAAAAAAAGAGATAGAACAATGAATGCTATGTAAGTAATGGTACAGGTTTGTACAGTCATAAAAATAAAGTCCAATAAGAGAAAAAGAGCAAGAAAATCGTGATGTCATAAGAAAATGCAGTAAAAGAGTATAAAGCAAAAAAAACAATATCAGTATCAACACAGTTCCTTTATTGTCAGTCAGGCATTCTAAAAAAATATGTGTCCATAAAATGATTCAAAAATCAAAATAATTGCACTGTAAATGAATGTTCTGCTGAAAAAGAAGAAACTGGAGCCACCGGTCCACCACCTAGTCCAAATCTGACAGTTCCATGGCCTTACCAATGGACTGGTTGTACTGGACCACCTGGTCAAGCGAGGGAGGGAGGGAAGTAGTTCCAATTTGGAACAAGTGAGTCCCAGGCAGCATGTAGTAGCTGTAGCTGTAGCGAAGGCGATGGACGAAAGATAAGTGTACCCAAGTGAATGGGGCAGCGATGAACATGGGCGACGCAAGGGGATGAACCTTCTCCAGCTCAAAAACTACCCACCCACACTCCAACCAGGCGAGACAAGCGACCAATGTTTTGATGGTATATGATGGCAGATTGACGTCATGAAGATGGACCTGTTGCCCTATTTGGACTGGCCGCCGGGGCTTTGCTGATATCAGCAGTGGCACGTGGTAGTCAACGGATCAGCGATGGAAGTGGATAGAAAGTGGTGACATCAGAAAAGGTGGGGGAGCAAAGAAGATGAGGAGGAGGAGGGTGGAGGTGACGAGTAGGTGAACTAAAATGGGGATCCAGAAATGACCGTCAGGTGAGACTAAAAAGGAGAGGAAGGGGCCCATGGTGGGGCTAGGCAAAGGAAGGGGAGTGAAGGAAACGACAAAAGCGAGGGTGCAATGCAATGTGTAGCCAGTGGCGATGCAAAAATTTGCCAAAATGCCAAAATGCCGAAAGTACCGAATGGAAAAGCAAAGGTGAGCGTGACTGAATTGCCAAATAGAGGTGGTGCTGATCAGCCACAGATTCAAAAAAGGCAATATTAATTACTATTCCACGTAGCACTGTGCCTGTGTGGCGCAAAGGCAAGTCTTTTTGAATATTTGCTTCATTCTTGACACCTGTCCATGCTACCAATCAATTTTGGTGTATGACACCGGGTCCAAACTCCGGAATCTTCAGTCTTCCCAGAATCATGCTCCTTGTGCGTGCTCTGCTACTTAGCATAGCCCTGTACCTTGCTTCCACGTGGACCAGCCCCACCACGTGAGAGAGTTGTAATTAAAAACAAAAGGAAGCAGTGTAGCGCAAAAAAGTGAATGTATAAGTGGAGTTTAAAATAAAAGGGAAGTGCCACATAGCACAAGTGTCCAAGAATGATAAAGAAAGTTAAAGAGGAGACTAGAAGTTGAAAGTCCAAAAATTGTGTATTGTAACTCTGTACCTACATTACAAGTTACTCCTTACAAACTCCAATAGCTGTAACTTGTTAGTTTTGGTGATTCTGCACCTTTATGCTACCTCTATATTTTCATTCCTTTCTCTATCTATCCCTCTACCATTCAGTATTGATTGTGTTCTCTATTATTTCGCCTTTGTGGCTGCTTTGTTTACCTTTGTTTACAAAACATCGGACAGTACTGCAGAGTCCAATGCTTCCTATTCTCTAGTTACTCACATTGGACTCTAGATACTGTATACCTCCCGTAGTCTCTCATAATATAGTTACTCACATTGGACTCTAGTTCCAGTCCCTGATAGCTCTCATCAAGTGGCTAGACACTTCCTTTAAGCTTTGTTCTTAACATAACTCCTGTACTCCATTCCTGCAGTTCAAATACCAATAAGTTCCCCACACCTTTTCACCCAAGTCCCCCTTCTAAGTCTTCCGGTCCTTCTCTGAAAGTGTTACAATTGACATACCAGCACCTATTTACACTTCACTTTTGTACTTTACTTTTCATTTTTCCAAGTCACATGACCAGTCATGTGACCATTTACTTTACTTTACATTTTCGACTTTTCATAGTCACATGACCAGTCATGTGACACATCACCTGACCAGTGTCTAGGCTCACCATGTGACAGGTCACATGCTAGACATCGGACTATAAACTTTATTTACAACTGTACAGTACCTCATGTATTTTAGTATATATACAGGAGCAATACATCGAGACTCCTCAGCGAGTCCTCCTGTTGTCTAGCACAACTAACTCACTGCAGCCTAAGGGGTAGCCACTCCCCATCATCTTCTTTATAGTGTGTTCCTGTGTGCGCCAGAGCAAATAACTCTTGGTTGTTACAGAAAGACCTTTACTCCACTCTACTTTCATCCTCCACTCTCCCCTCATTCACTCCATCAAGTTAGGGAATAAGGTCTGCCAAAGGGCCTAGTTCACAAGCTAAGCCGACTCCCAACCTTGTACTCTGTTCTGCTCCCACAGCACACCTCCAAACTCTGAAGGTCACAGTTCTGACATAGAGAGACTTTGTTCAACCCTTTGTGACACTTTCTCACAATTATCCTTGGGGCAGAAGCTTACACATCTGTTGGTCTACTCCATTGGTGGCTGGTAAGCAAACCATATCACTCTCCCTTTCCATATGTACTGATGCCAACAGCTGTCCAAGAGTAGTACTCTTCCCAATTTCCTGATCAAGTTTGGTGTCTACAAGTTGGACCTCAAAGATCAATCTGACTCCGGGCCTACTCGGACCCATCAGGAAAGGTGCATTTTTCTTTGAGTGCCTTTGATGCGTCTTAAAGTCTCTTTTTTGGCTTAAACTGATGCTGAGATTCACTCACGCAAAGACCGGATAAGACAAAATAAGCAGGTGCAATTTCTGAAACTTCCTTATTTCATGCTTACTTTATTCTTAGAACCAGCTTAGAACCGTCTTTAATTCATCTTGAAAGTGTTACAAAAACACCTTCAAAATTCTATTGACGCTTATAGCAGCTTAAAAAATATTCCTTAGAAGTATCTTGAGAGATCTTAAAATGTACCAAAAGCATATCTTATTATAACATTGATAGCAAGAAAGCAAACATTCATGTACATACTCAGACAAAATGACCAGTGGATTGGTATACTGATTAGCTGCAACAAACAAAATGAGCGGGGTGTGAGTCTGAACATGCTGTGAATAAATATCCATAAGGCAGGTGCAAGGATCAACCTCATTGCTGTCCCCCTCAGAACCACACCGAGAACTCCCTTTCACATATACCTGGGCTTGTTCCACAATGTCTTCAAGTGTGCCCAGCTGGAGCTTCTTCATAGAGGTATGATAGTTCCGTGTCACTGTACCCCAGTTAGTTTCTGAGAAATTCCCATGGCTGCTGGTTTCTTTGCCCGTCGCCTTGTTGAGTTTTGGGATGGGCTTAAGATAAGATTTGATCAGTTTTGCCTAGCCCGAGCGTTGAATCTTGGGCTCCCAATGAACTTCATGATTTGCACAAAGTCAGAATTCGCTCAACCTAGAACAACAGTTAGAAGATTTGAATTTTAACAGCAGCAAGAAATGTACAGCTGCGGCCAACATTGCTAGGGTGCCTAGAGGTGGGAATTTATCTGTGTCTGAGGATTGTTCATGTGTACCAGGTTCGCAAAGGGCCTCAACATTGATAGTGCCATTGATTGAGTTGAGGTGGGGCGCGAATGTCTGTAAGATAAATGGTGATTGAAATATCCCCTGATAATCCTTGTAAATTAATTTAGATTAGCACGTGAATAGACAATTATTACACCGGTAAAACTCACAGATATTTTGTTGCCAAGATTTGCATATAAAAATGCAAGATCGCTAACCATTGATTTTGAGAATTCTTGACGTGCTTTGTAGGTGCTGAAATCTGGCTCAATGTAAGTGCTATAATAGAAAATAAAGAGCTTACTACACTGCAGACAGCGTCATTCAGAGTGACCCTATACTTGATATCTGGATAGATGGTATTCCAGGTAGCCTGGATAGCTTCCAAGGACTTGTGATCACTTGCCATCCAGGGATTCTCAGTTGTTCCCAACAATTTCTTGTATGTTGGTACGAAGACAGAGCGCCACCAATTTCCTTGAAGACATCCTTGGGGCAGATCGCTGTTTTTTGCCTTGGTGAGCTTAGTGATAAGGGTATTTTCTTCAATTTTGATCATCTTCTGCGAGAATTATATTTGATGGTCAAGTTAACCATGGATATGTGAGTGGAGACATACCAAATTATCTGTCCTTTGCTTCCCAGTTATTGCTGCACATTCTTCACTTTCATCCTTGTCCTCAAAACTGCTATCATGGTATATAGTGTTATCTTCTTGCAGTTGTGGCTGTTTTGAACATAGTGACTCAGATGTGACCAATGTTTGCATGGTTTGAGTGCTTGAGATTTTTGATAAGATGGAAGCATGGCTGGCAGCCTGAGATGATCCTCTGCCAGTAGAGTTTAAACTTGCTCCATTAATTGTTCTTGCACATAGCGACCTTTGAAGCCCAGTTGTTGACTAGACCCTTGAGTTTTGGGGCCTCCAAGTCTCTGATGGTAGCAGTGGTGGATGAGATGCTGTGATAGAATAGTGTGGTTTCAGTTAGTGGCAAGAGCATGATAGCAGTGGAGTGATAGGAGCAAAAAATATGTCAGTATAGTTTGATGGAGGTCTGAATAAGGTGACAGACCTATCACGCGGCTTCTGCTTGCCATCAGAAACACCAGATTTAGCCATACAATTTCCCACCACAGGACTGTTTGAGGCAGTTAGCTGCTTCCTTAGCGCCTTGACAGCCTCCCTGCTGTTGTCTTTCTTCCTCTTCTTAGGTTGCTCCATTTCTTCGTTGCTGGACTCAATGATCAGGGCCCTTGCCCTATTTTTTTTCTTCTGCACTGGCTGCAGCGGCTGGTCCTTGTTGATCGGCTCACAAATAGCTTGACTGCCTGTGGTAAGTGCAGAATTGACTTCTGGTGAGCCTACACTGACTTCTATGTTGGAATCTGCATCAAAATTCAGATATGGCTGAGATCTCATGTCTTCAACAGACTGGGATCCTATATCTTCAATAGTAGGCTGGGATCCAGTTTCATCCACCTCCATGCCATAATCACTGGACAAACTTTCTTCCTCACTATTGGGTACATGCTGTGTGCTTTCTCGGCGGATTAGGCAACATTTTGGTTGAGATGGGGGAGGAGTCTTTGAGTGTGTACTACTGGGATGCACTGAGATGCGCTTGGAGGGAGGGAGGATCAACATTGAGTTGTCGACATCCTCCGCTGCTTGTGAATCTTTGATTGCTGCAATAGCAATAGCCTGAGGGCCCGCTCTGTCTCCTCAGCAGTAAGTTTCTGTTTTGCCAATGCTTCAGCCATCTAAGTCTGAGTTCGCTTTTTTGTTTGTGTGTCAAGCAGAATTAGACCAGGGCGCTGGTCCGCATTTTTAGCACAGGTTACTGGGCGATTCATTGCATTTTTGTGACGGGGATGTTGACAAGAGTGAAGATGTAGCTTGGGGCTGCTGAATTGAGGTGAGTACTAGTAGTAAACAGGGTGTTTTTTTTCACTGAGGCTAAATGCTATACTATAGTCACACAATATTATTTCCTCACTAATTTTCCCTCAAAACTTACTATTTGGACACAAGAAATAGCTCCTGCTATAGTACCAAGAACTCAGCCCAGTTGGCAATATCAACACTCCCGGCCTCTGTCCTGCAAAGCTCTCAGATGTAAATGTTAGTTTTGAAACTCTTCAGGTCTCACACAGCACCTACACGCTTTCCATCCACATTTTACCGGATCTGAGCCCATTATTGCAGACCAAGACCAAGACAACTTACCACAAGCACAAGATGAGGATGGGCCATAGCTTCAAACTGGTGAAGATTGGCCACATGAAGTTGAATACCACCCTTTGTTGAATGGTGTGTGTTCTGATTTATTGCATTGTAAGGACCACATAACTGATATCTACTACAGGCAGGCCATGCAACAAATTTGGTCATGATATAGCTCCTGGAGCTGCACCCATCTCTCCTCAACATCCATCCCCAACTGACTGGACCCCATATTGTGATCACATTGAATTTGAAACCTCCGAGTTTCTATATAAGAAAACACAGATGTCAGCCGGTGATATTGACACACTCTCCAACCTGTGGAAGGTGTCACTTCTCAAGAATGGACTCACCAATGGAGAAATTCCCTTCACAGATAGCCAAGACTTGTACCGAACCATTGATGCAATACCACTGGGTGGGATACCATGGGAATCATTTTCATTGTCGTACAATGGAGATGTCCCAGAAGCATCTACCCGTCATGGATGACTGATTCCCATGATGTCTGGTTCCGTAGCTCAGACACTATTGTACGCAAGATGCTTTCAAATCCAGACTTCAAGATGAGATAGATTATGCACCTCTTTGCAAGTTTGATGCAGACAGAAAATGTCAATTCAAGGACTTCATGTCTGGCGACTGGGCATGGACTCAAGCTGATAAGATTGCTGAAGACCCAATTACTCATGGGGAAATGGTCGTACCAATTATCCTTGGCAGCAACAAAACCACAGTTTCAGTTGCTACAGGCCACAATGAGTATTACCCTCTTTATGTCTCAGTGGGGAATGTGCACAACAATGTACGGCGTGCACACCAAAATGCTGTTGCCCTTCTAGGATTTCTTGCAATCCCAAAAAGTATGCTATTCATTATGCTTTTGAATTCAATAAACTAACTGTAGTTCCAGCTGATAAGAAACACACTAACAATGCAACATTTTGAAAATTCCGCCGACAACTCTTTCACACATTATTATCACAGATTTTACAGGACCTTAAACCATCTATGACAACTCCTACAGTAATACAGTGTTCAGATGGCCACTTTTGACGTGCAATCTATGGACTTGGGCTATATATTGCAGACTATCCAGAGCAAGCACTTTTAGCCTGTATTGTTCAAGGCTGGTGTGCGCAGTGAGTTGTTGTTTTTTTATAATTCAATGGCATTATATCTAAAGTGTTTGACAGTTGTATAGCACTCCCAAATAATCTTGACGGTGAAGGCAAAAGACGTTCACAAAAGTATAGTGAAGCATTGACCAATGTATTCGGCCTTGACGTCTTATGGGATAAATATGGAATAGTGGGTGACCTTGTGGTTAGTAAATGATGAGTAAACCCTTTATCCTTTTTTGACATCTCATGAATCTATTACCCCTGCTTTATAACCTTCTTACCTTGTTCGAGTGTGACTACCCTCCATCCTTTTCTCGACATGACTATCCTTCATTCCTTTTCAACATCTCCTGAATCTACTGCTAAAAAATCACCTGTAGCCATTCACAAACAGCTTTCCTCAAGCTAACATCCACAAACTTCTGGCACCCGATTTGCTTCATCAAGTGATAAAAGGAACATTCAAAGATCATTTGGTTAGCTGGGTTGAAGACTATTTGATGCAGACACATGGAAAGGGTTGTGCAGAAGAGATCATGGACAGTATAGACCGGCGGTACATTATTCCCATTTTTTATTACAGTTTTTCATTTTTCTGACAGTCTTATATGTAGCATTGCTGCAGCTCTATCATTTCCTGGCTTGCGCAGATTTCCCGAAGGATGTGGGTTCAAGCAATGGACTGGCAACAATTCCAAAGTGTTAATGAAGGTTATTAAATAATTTTCATTTCTAGTCTAAGATGATAGCTTACAACGCTAACTTTACAGGTCTACCTCCCCGCAATTGAAAGACATGTTCCACCTGATGTGACAAAAACTTTTCGGGCATATCTTGAGTTTTGTTACTTAGTTCAACGGAATGCTCACAACAAGACCACACTGACACGCATCCAAGATGCCCTTGATTGTTTCCATCAATACTGCACTGTGTTTCAGACCACTGGGGTGTGACCTAACGGATTCTCTCTTCCTAGGCAACATTCTTTAGTCCATTACATCATATTGATATGAATGTTTGGTGCCCGAAACGGACTGTGTTCGTCCATCACCAAATCCAAACACATTAAGGCTGTCAAAGAGCCATGGCGCCGTTCCAACCGTTATAATGCACTTGGGCAAATGCTACTCACAAACCAAAGGCTTGACAAACTTGCAGCCTTGCGAGTCGATTTTATAGAGTGTGGCATGCTCTCTGGAAATATTATGAGCCCTCAGGCTGCTGTAGAAGGTGGCGTCAATATCAACACTGGTGATCTTGAAAGCGGTCCGGTTTTAGGGCCACCTACTGTGGCACATGTTCAGCTTGCTTGAACTCAAAGTAAGTTTTTTTTTTCTAGTTTAATTTACCCACTAATCTGAAATTGCAGAGCAAGGATATGCACGGACACTGGACCAACTAGAGAAGCAGCTTGACTAGCCAAGGCTGGTCGAGCTTGTCCAAAGATTTTTATATAATCAGCAACATCTACATGATTCTGATGCACCATGTGCAGCCAACATCATCCTTTCCAATTGTCCAGCCGGGTCACTCAACGCAAAGATATTGGTATTTCACTCAGCTACAGCCATGTTCTATGCCCCAAGTGATGAAAGTGGACTCAGAGGTATGCATCAAGAAACTATATGTGCTTCTCCATCATGGTGGAGAGGACCTTCTCGGCATGACTGTGTCTTTGTCGAGAGGGACTGGGATGCAGGGATTGGATGTTGTCCACATCCTACTGTTTTTTTCTTTCACCTTTCCTGGATGTACTCTACCCATGTGCATTAGTGCACTGGTTCTCAAAAGTCCAAGAAGAGCCCAACAACCTCATCGGTATCTGGATGGTCCGTCCAGACTTCAATGAGGGCCTATCACCAACAACTGAGGTGATCCACCTTGACTGTATCCTACGAGCCACGCATCTCCTTCCTGTTTTCGGTGACGACAGCATTCCCCAGCAGATATTGTTTCATAACTCACTTGATGCTTTTGCATCATTCTATGTCAACAAATTTATTGATCATCACGCTTTTGGATTAGCATCTTAGAATTACTAACTCTTTCTGTATCAAGACTTGTGTTCTGACTTGACCTTACTTGTGTTTTTAGTCTTAGAAACATGCTCAAAAAGTCTTAATTCATCATTGATGTCCGCTATTTTACATAGCTTAACTTTTGATGGTCTTAATGGTCTTGATCTGCATTGGAGCAGTTAGAGTAATTTGAGCGTGCAATTCTTAGCAAGCTTAACTCTCTTATATGTTATGATATGTTTTAGTCCTTGTTCTAAGACGGTCTAAATCTTCAACATCACTCAAAGAAAAATGTAATAAATCTAAGTGAAACTCAGCCACTGCCCGAGAGGCTATAGAAACAACTGAGGTATTCCTATACTAAACCCCCTACTACTTATAGTTGGAGATGCTACTCGCTACAGTATAATGACTCCTAGGAGAACAATGGTGACTCCATGAAGTGGTGGCTATGCTCCATGGAGAACAATGGCTGCTTTAGCAGAGACCGGGTTTATCCGGTTTTGTCACTCCCACTTGAGTGCAACCGTAGTCCCATAGCTTTAGAGAATTTCCAGTGTTTTTCGTGAGTGAGGGGTTTAGTGAGAATGCCGGCAACCATATCTCCTGTAGGAACATATCTGATTACTGTCTCTCCCTTTGATACTAAATCATCTCGGATGAAATGATATTTCCATTGAATATGTTTTGTGCAAGCACAGAGCTGCGGATCTTGTGTAAGAATAATAGCTGCTTGATTGTCACAGTGCAATATTGTAGGTCCATTTTGAGCATGTCCAATTTCTTCAAAAAATGTCCGAAGCCATGCAAGGTGTTGTCCAGCATTGCTCAATCCAATTTACTCTGACTCCGTGGAGGATAAAGCTACCATGATTTGTCTTTTGCTTGTCCAGAAGATTGCTCCTCGGATGGTGATAAAAACAAAGCCTGATGTTGATCGAGACGTGTCTGGGTCTCCAGACCAATCTGCATCCGAATATCCATAGAAATCCATGTCCATGGAGACATTTGTGCCATCATAACGTAGTTCCATATCCCTGGTTGCTTTCAGATATTGGAGGACACATTTTGCAGCTTCCCAGTGATGGCTCCTTGGAGCTGAGCTATGTCTGCTTAGTATTCCAACAACATAGGCAATATCTGGGCGGGTTCTGAGTATGGCATACATCAGGGAGCCTACAATTGAGAGGTATGACACTAGACACCCTTTAATATGCATCTCGTGTTGCACAATATCTTCTCCTGGAGCATTTGCAAGGAGTTTTGATCCATGGGCCATTGGTGTCCATACTGGTTTGCAGTTCTTCATTCCAGTATGCTCCATAACTGTGTCAATGTATTGACGTTGCAATAGGGAGATTGTTTTGTTTGAACAATCACGTTGGATTTCTATTCCAAGGATGTATTTTGCTTCTCCAAGGTCCCGCATTTTGAATATGGATTTGAGTTTGGCTTTTGTGATATCCATGAATTTCCGGGATGAAGCTCCTAGGAGGAGGTCATCTACATAGACAACAACAAAGTATATTTGTTTGTTGTCCCGGAATACATAGAGACATGTTTCTGCGTTTAGTCTTGTGAAACCAAGCTCCTGGAGCTTGCAATCAAAAGTTTTGTTCCATGTAGGACCAGCTTGTTTTAACCCGTAGATGGATTTTTTCAATCTCCAGCAGTATCCAGGTTGGATAGGAACACCCCCTGGAGGAAGCATGTACAGTTTTTCTTCAAGTTCTCCATTGAGATAAGCTGTGGATATGTCCATTCGATCAAGTTCTAGGTCGTACTTTGCTGCTAGGGCTAGAATAATTCAGATTGACTCTAAGTTTGCAACCGGAGCAAAAACTTCCTGGTAATCAATCCCCTCCCTTTAAGTAAAACCTTGTGCAACAATCCGGAGTTTGTATCTCTCAATGTTTCTGTTTTGATCAAACTTGATCCGGAACACAGGTTTTGATGTGATAGGTTTCACTCCCTTTGGAGGTGGGACAGTGTCATATACTGCATTGGTATTAAGACTTAGGAGTTTCTCCTTCAAGGCAGACTTCCATAATTCTCCATCCGGACGTGATAAGGCTTCCTTTAGTGTCCTTGGAAGGTCTGTATTAGGTGGACCAGTGCTTGCTATTCCAGCAAAGAATGTCTCCTCTGTATCAGATGTTTCTTCATGAACCTCAGGAGTGTTAGGTTTCTCCATGGAGTTCTCATGCTGCTCTTTTTGAGACTGTTCCTCATCTAGAGTCCTTTGATAATCTTGGTTTTTATCTGCAGGACAAGTCTGGCAACTGCTTCTGTGTACTCCTAGGACTTCAGCAGGCATGACTGCTCTTTTAGGCACTTGTGCAGGTACTCCAGGGAGTAGACACATTTCTGTGTGTGTTGCCCCACTCACTCCTGAAGGTGTTGAATGTCTCCTCGGAGGTGTTTGATGACTCCTTGGAGGTGTTGTATGCCTTTCAGAAGCTATATGCCTTTCAGAAGCTGATCCGATGGACAGGCTGTCTAGCTGTATTCAGACTTTTTCCACATCAGCTGGCTGTATGTTGAGGAGCTGTCCTCCCACTCACTGTGACTCTACTTTGGGTTTCCGTTCTGAAGATGGCCAGTATTCGGGTCTTGGTTGTAGAGACTGTTGTGGAGGGTGTCTTAGCTGATCAGGTGCTCCCACTGCTCTCGGAACGTCTCCACGGAGGTATTGCCCCACTGCTCTTGGAACATCTTCATGCTGATATGGTTCTATTACTTGTGGAACATCTCCTTGGAGATGTGGTTCCATTTGAAATTCATTTGGATCTCGGATCCAAGAGTCAGGATTATCCTCCTCCAGTGTATTTTGGTCTGGATAGTGAGCATTCTCTGGAATGAGTCCCTCCCACTGATCTGTGCTAGGGTCTGTGTTCCAGGGAGCAGTGTTGTCCTTTTGTACCTTTCCGGATTCATTGAATATGACATGCCAACTGGAAAACACAGTTCGTTTTTCAGTATCTAGGAGTTTGTAGGCTTGCTTTCCATGTGTGTAGCCAATCATTATGGCTTTGCGCCCCTTGGGGTAGAACTTCCCTTGCCTTTTGTCTTTCGGAATCCAGGCATATGCTTGGCATCCGAAAGGGCAAAATAAAGTTGGATCAACTCTCCTTTTAAACAGTATTTTATATGGGGTCTTTCCACGGAGTCCTAATGCTGGGCTGCGTGCTGTGATATATGCAGCTGTTTGCATGGCATCCACCCAGAATGACTTTGGGAGCTTGGAATCATGGAGCATAGTGGTTGCTAATGTAGCCAATGTCTGACTCATGCGTTCTGCAATGCCATTTTGTTCCGGAGTATCTGTGGCTGTAGTTTTTTGGATGACACCATCTCCCAAATGAGTCCGGAAGAATGTTTGGACATCTTCTTTCCATTGCTTGTATCGTTCCAGTGCTTCACTTTTGTGTTTTAGGAAATATATCCATGGAAATTTGGAGAAATCATCTACAATGATAATCCAGTACCAAAAACCCTCCCTGGAGGTTGGTTTGATTGGTCCTCCAACATCTGTGTGCACAATTTGTATGCTTGGCTTGGTTTCCTCCAGTGGACTTGAAAGGTAATTTCTTCATCTTTCCTAAAGCACAAGGTTCACAGAACTCCGGGGTTCCGGTAAGGGTGTCTATGTCCTTAAGCTGTCCTTTTGTAACCATTTGTTGCAAGCGGTCCATTCCAATGTGTCCCATTCTCCTGTGCAATAAATTTACATCTACTGTTGCAAAAGCTGACTCCATGTTGATTTTTGGTTTTGCTTGGATGTGATAAAGCCCTCGCTTGTGTAAAGCAGTGAGGATAAGTTCCTTTTTTTTCCGAACTTCACAAGCATTTGACCCTGCTGGAAAAAGTGTTGATAACCCCGTTTTGGACAATTTGTGGACAGAGACAAGTGCTAAAGTGAAGTTTGGCACAAGTAAGACATTTGACAGTGCAATATTGTAGTCCTTTTTGCCAACAGTTGCTTGTAGAATTACTGTTCCAATGACAATGGCATTTACAGAGGATTCATCCCCAAAACTGATTGTCCTCAGAGGATTCAGAACATGGTATGTTCCTGGCTCAAACCAGGAGCAGTGAGGGACCATGCGGGATGTTGCTCTGGAGTCAATGATGATTGTTGTTTTGGTCTTATCGGGTTCCGACACAAGGTAAGCTTGAATGTGTTTAGCAAGGGGCTTGGAAATATGTACATGTTCCAATGCAATATGACTCTGTTCCTCCTCGGAGTCAGATCCAGATGATTGCTCTGCCGTATTTGCCTTTTCCTTCTCTTTTCTTTTATCCTTGTGTCTTTCCTTACCCTTCTTCTTTTGACCTTTTCCAGCTGACTGAAGTGTTCGACACTCCGAGGTGTTGTGTGTTTTGGCTTTGTGGAAGTCACACCACTTCTCCTCGGACTTGAGTGCTGATTTGGAACCTCCAGGGGCCTGTCCTGACTGTTGTGCAACTTCTGCAGTGATCGGGATCTCAACTGCATCAAAGGTAAGTTTATTTTCTTCAATCGTGTTGATTACCGATGACTGAAATATTTGCCATTCAGGAGTGCATGGGAGAGATTGGAGAAGAGCAAAGGCCATGAGTTTGGTATCAACTCCTAGTTTCATTCCGGAAAGGTGTGAATCAATTGTCCGAATTTTCGCAATGTGGTCCTGGATAGGTGATGTCCCATCCCAGGACAATTTGGTGAGTTGCTGGAATGAATAGAATGCCGAGGCAATATTGGACATCTGATAGAGTGAAACAAGTTTGTCAAATAACTCCTTGGAGCTGGTGAGGTTTCCAGTCCTCATTAGGAGGGCATCAGAGATGTGGTCCTGGATGATTCTATGTGCCTTCTCATCCTTAAGTATCCAGGTGATTTCAGGATCCTCCAAGGAGGTGGGCTTTCCTGGTGAGGGCTTAAGCTCCTCTCCAGTGACAACTTGGAGAACCTTTTCCCGATGTAGCTTTGAGATGATCCAGAGTTTCCATATCTGGAAATTGTTGGGTCCAGT